AGACTCTTGTGCCCAGGCAGAGCCAGTGGCGCTCCAAAAGAATCTACTCACACAGCTCTGGTTACAGGGTGATTGATACTTGTCACTGTTTCTCTTGTGTAGTCAGTTTCCTTTGTTTCATGTGGGCATTTCACACAGCAATGGGCAGAGAGATTCTTTTGGGGTATTTTTGTAAAACCACAAATAATGGCCAGGCAGGTGTATGACCAGTTAGAGCTGGCCAAAGAGCCATGGGCACTTAGCAGAAACGCCTCTGTTTTGTCAAAGTTTGAAAAAGTCACCCAGCTCTACGATAAATGTATTTTAGCCGACTAGATTTCCGGTTGTCCCCTTAACTCTAGACATGGTGGAATTCCGTATTTGTTTTTTTTTTTTAATGTAGGGCATTCAGCATTTCGTACCGAAGATGCACAATGCAGTGTGTGTGTGGAGAGATGCTTTAAAGAGTTTGCAGGATGTTAAAGGACTTGATGAACAGGCACTGAGATTGGGTTGAGTTTTGGCCTTGTCTACCTGGAAACCCATTTCAGGTGTGAATTTAAACAGATACAGTTATACCAGTCCAATATGTTTGTGCTATCCTCTTATTCTGAAATAAGAGTGTTCTCAGGACCTCCCAAGTCACATAAACAAACCCCCGAAAAGCCAGTCTGACAGTGGAGTAAGTGTCCACACGGCGGGATCATACCTGTACAACTGGTAAAATTTCTCCATGTAGACAAGGCCTCGAATGACACATTGTAAAGCATGGTTAGTAGCCTGCTTGTCTTCCTAAAGCATCTAAAGAGAGGCAGAGCTCTTGCTGCAGCTGCTTCCTCCAGATGCTGTGTAATGAGGACCAGGTGTTCACTTGGATGGCAGTTTCTCATACAGATTAGGTCTGTGGCTGCCTTACTGGCTTAGTGTTTTCCAATTGCTTTGAATGTGGATCCCTTAAAGTACATTTCAGAGGCTGTTGGTGGTCTGTGAACCAAAGGCCAGCTCTATGGGCTATGGGCTGCAGCTGCCTTGGGCGTGGTGGCTTATGATTAGGGCAGACAGTACCCAATACCATTCCTCACATAGGCTGGAGAACAGCTGCTTACGGTTCCTGTGCCTTATGAAGTGCACTAATTGAGTGGCCAGACTAAACTGTCCCTAATCGGGGTTAGGACAAGAGGGGGAGTAGACCCTCGACCATTCTGAAAGCAGCCCATGCTAATTCAATGGCTCCAGACTTTATGAGTTCATATATCACCTTCTTAAATTGTTGGGAAGTGAATGGCTGGAATGGCACACACCACAGTTTGTACTTAGCTATGGTGTCTCCTTCTTCTTCAAGATCTTAACCCGGGGTGAAGAGCTAGGAACAATATGGTCCCCAGAAATTCCACAGCCAACTCCGCTGCAATACTACAGCCTTTCTTTTAGGACTGGTAGAAACCCCCCCAGTTTAGTTTCTGCCCAAAATTTTGAAGGAATGACAAATGTGAGCTATGTTCAAAATTCTTCATGGACATCTTCGGGAGAAAATTCAAGTCAACATGTGTTTGTTTTCAAATGGAAAAATTCCACATGGGTTTTTGAAAACCCAAGTATTTCAGTTTTGGCCTACCCCATGGGACAACTGAGTGGAGAGTAAATGGAAAGGGGGAAACTTCCCTCCCCATCCAGAAAACCAAAAGTTATAAGCCACAACAAATTTCCAGTTCAAAACAAAGCAATGGTTTCACTTTGGACATTTCCCAGTAACATTCACTGCCTCAAAAAATGTTCATGGAAGTTTGACTCTGTCAAAAGAACGCTTTGACCATAAATGTGACCAGCTCTGTTTCCTACAGAAAAATTCCATTGAGGATGTTGCCTTACGCACACAACAAAATGTTCCCTCTTGTACAGCTGCCAGTCAAAAGACAAGGCTGACAAATGCAAGAGACAGAATCGCAGTTCAGGAGACTGGAGCATGGGTGTGGGGTTTACTGACAAGGGAAAGCGATGACTTGAACAGAGGGATTTTTGAAGGAAAGAGAAGTTTGTAGACGGTAAGGGATTTATTTCAGGTGTAGAGGCGTAATAGAAAGCATTGGAAGGCAAAGGGAGCAGTGAGGAGAGTCGAGATAGGTGAGAAAATAGGGAAGGGGGCAGGGTTCTAGATGGGAGCAAGATTATGGATTTCAGAAGAGTGAGGGGAGATTTGATAGCAGCCTTCAACTACCTGAAGGGGGGGATCCAAAGAGGATGGAGCTTGGCTGTTCTCAGTGGTGGCAGATGACAGAACAAGGAGAAATGGTCTCAAGTTGCAGTGGGGGAGGTCTAGGTTGGATATTAGGAAACACTATTTCACTAGGAGGGTGGTGAAGCACTGGAATGGGTTTCCTAGGGAGGTGGTGGAATCTCCATCCTTAGAGGTTTTTAAGGTCAGGCTTGACAAAGCCCTGGCTGGGATGATTTAGTTGGGTTGGTCCTGCTTTGAGCAGAGGGTTGGATTAGATGACCTCCTGAGGTCTCTTCCAACCCTAATCTTTTATGATTCTATGATTCCACTAGTGTCTGCTTTGCAACTACTGGATAACCACAATCTTCCTACAAAATGAGTCACCCTTTCTATTTAGTAAAAGTCAGCACTGAACTAGGCGGCAATGAAAACTGGTCAATTCTGAAATAGGGAAAACAGTTAGGGCCACTTTCAGCCTGCTAGATGAGGGCACAATTAGAAGATACTATCTTTACTTGTAGACTGAACAATTTGATCTGGGCCTGGAGACCCAACCAGCATAGAACCCAGAGATGTCGCTACAGGGAGTAACTCTAGACACTGCTCCAACGTGACTTGATTCAGGCTGGAGTCCTCCTCCATCTTTAAAAATGTCACCGGGAACTGTACAGAAACAAGCGCAAAGTTAACACACCTCAGTACAACGTGGCACAAGCTTTGCATGACTTTAATTGGTGTCACTGGTATATTTTACAATGAATGTGGTTATGATGACATCAAATATCCAATTGGCTGCACTTAAATCTTCCCATTCTTTCCCCACCTGCCCCAAGTAAAAATGACCACCGCCACAGACTGAGTGTTGGCTCTGCCGTCTGTTGCCTTTTTTTAATAAAAGCAGCCTTACGGATCCATTCATTGCCAGAAAGCTAGAGGCAAAAGGTGAATCTGTGCAAATTATCATCCTAGTCTGCTGGGAATCCCTCCTCCGAGGCGTCGGGGAAAGAGGGATATACTAAGGTGGGGCTGTAATCCAGGGCAAATCGGAGGAAGGAGAACTAATGAACAGCTAACCCTGCTGGAACTAGGAGATCTCAGAAGCTCCCTTGACACAGACTTCAGACAGTCCTTGCTGTTTTCTCTGGTATCTCATCAACCGGTCTTATTACTGATGCCGTGGTTGTGACATCTCATCACATGACTGTGGCTGTCCCCAGTAGGGCATATGGGGGGCCTGGCATTAGAAATAGCCTGTATATGGTAACTGCTTTTGATAGGCCAGCAACCGGCTACTTGAATCGAAAGCTCTATGAGGCAGGGACCTCCTAGTTATTTTGTGTCCGTAAAGCACAATGTCCATCAATTGGGTGATATGAAAACTACTGGGAAAAGATCTCTCACCATTGAACAAAAAATCCTATTGGGAGATGGCATAGTAGCTCCCTTCTTCTAAAGCCTCACAACCGAAACTAGGGATGAGATTTGTCATTCGTCCAATGTTGAGCTCCTTTGAATCGGCTAATTCCCCAGCTCTTTCCAAAGACGATTGGCGACGCGCTACTCTTTCCAAAGAAGTTGATGATCAACTTTTCAGAATTTTTTTGGCTTATGATGCGCTAACTTCTGCAGTGCAGGTGGGAGGGACTGAGCAAAACAGGTGGTTTTCTCTGAGCGGGCCACCTCTAGCCTTTGATCTTGAATTGTTTGTTTCCTTGACACACTGAGACATTCCAATGACGTTGGATGCACCTAACGTAACTAAATGAAAGAGATTTAACACAAGGAACGTGGGAAATATAAAGCAGATATAATCTTTGTGGGTACCAAGAGACGGTAGGGAGTGTGGTCTAATGGGCAGAACCAAGGCGATAGACTTTCTTGCTGCCCCATTCGTGACCGGGGACAACCTCTGGGTGTTTCCCCAACTGTAATGGGATAACACTTACCTGTATCAAAGGTGTGTGTGTGTGAGGCTTAATTAACGTATATAAAGCACCACAAGATCCTTATTTGAAAGATGCTATAGAAACACAATGTATTTTTAAGCAATCCATAATCTATATCTTTAGGGTACTACAGTAGGAATCCCATGTAATGGTACAGAGCAGTAGTAATGGTCCCAACAAGGGTACCTTTCTATGATTTCTCACGTTGGACCAAATTCTGTTGGGGAAAGAGGCAAGCTTTTGAACTTTAAAGAGTTCTTCAGGCTTGGGAAAGGTCCTTAGTGCCTCAGCGAAAAACAAAGTGGAACAGATTGTTAAGCACAAGGAGTTAACACATGCTGGTTTCTCATAGTCCTTTGTATGTAGGCAGATCACGTTTTTTGAGGCTGTCAAAGCAGTTTAGACCCTAAACCTCACAACGCTCCTTAAAGTGATGCTAGGTAACTCCACTAATTTTAGGTGCTACGACTTTGGAGTGCCCGAGGTGAGCCACCCAAGTACTCTGAGGCGGAAACGCTTTTTGTTCTGTGTCTATACAGCACAATGGGGCCCCGATCCATGACTGGGGATCCTAGTACTACTGCAGTACCAATAATTAACAGTTCTTGACTGGTTTTCAAACATGGTCTGTGTTCTCCGTATAGGTGACTTTTATTCCCAACAGCAAGGCCCCTGCACAGGTTTCTCATCCAGTGGAACTAACACCCCTGTAGCAAAATGTCCCACTGCACTCAAGCAGTTACCTGCATCTTCTATTTGACAAAGAGAAGTGACAGCTAAAAAGTAAAAAGCAACAGAGGGTCCTGTGGCACCTTTAAGACTAACAGAAGGTGCCACAGGACCCTCTGTTGCTTTTTACAGATTCAGACTAACACGGCTACCCCTCTGATAGCTAAAAAGTAAGTTTCCATCCAAGCCTATGCTTTGGGAGTGCAGGTCTTGGTTTACCTGTCAAACTGGTAAAATGGAAATGCATGCCAACCACCATTGTAGCCTTGATGAGCTAATGCATGTTAACCTAATGATACTGTGCCGGCTTTTTAAAACAATCAAAAAACTACTCTGAAAAAGACAAGGTTTGGAGTTTCATAAGTTTGTCGGATCATGTGCTCCAATGTTATTGTGTATTTAAACAAGCCAAGACTGTTTTGATCTCCTAAATGAACCCATGTGGCTTTGTTTACTGGTAGCAGTAGCAGGATTAGTAAACACAAACTCTGGATTAAAAATACTTGCTTGTTTTAGCAAATGACTTTACCAGATAAAAATAACTGTAAGAAAATAATTCAATAAAGCAATATATGTAGCAGATGACCACACTTCTATCTCAGATTCTGTAGAAACAGGCACTATATTTGTTTCCTTACAGCACTGGTGATCTGTCAAGTTTCTTTTATGTGATAAATAAAGACACCCAGCCTTGTTCACACAATTAAAAAAGAAAAGGGAGAGGTCAGGGAGAGAGAAATGATTGAACTGGGCTGAAGATTTGCTGCAGGGAACAGCTATTAAACATTAAGTTGAGACTCTCAAAGCCAAGCATCCCAGGGGTTAATTTCAAAGAGAGGTGTGTGCAATTCCCATAAACTGTTTTAAAAACCTCCACCACATCTTCTAATTTGGGGCCTAATTCTGCAATCTTTACCTCAGGTTAAATAGTAGTTACTCATCCTAGCAGCTTAAATGAAGGGAAGGGCAGCAGAACTGGTTTCTCCTATTTGCAGTTTATTTGGGGTATAACCATATTCTTCACTAGCAGCAATCAGATCAGAGGAAGTGGTGTTTCGAATGTGAATGTTGCGCTTCATGGAATCTTACGTTGCCATGGTGCTGACAATGTACGGGTTCTCTCCTAACGTTTCACCCTTCCAAAAAGAAAGTTCCCAACTCCTGCCGGCATTTCTGCCACATGCCTTCATTGCAGCAGCGGTGGTATCTTTGTCGCCCCTTCCTGCTTATCACTAATTTTCCACTTCAACGTGCAACACGTCAGTGTGTAAACCTGCCGCCCACCATGACATAGGTGGTGGATTTAACCTTCAGCTGGAGTTATAATTATAACATTCTGAAAATGACACCCTGGTAAAGACGACCAACAATAAAAGCATCAGTTTCTGGCATGACCCTGCTGAGTTTTCCTTTTCTCTACTTCCCAGCCTCCTGGGTAATTTGTTTTGATCTTTTGGTAATAAACGGTAGAAGGCCTGTACTGCACTGCAGAGCTCTGACCAGAACCCCATCCGCTCTGAACAGACAGGGAAGATTAAAGAGGAATCAAAGGAACAGAAGCCGTACAGATGAAAACCTTTCAGTCATTACTTCCCATCCCCTCACTGAGATTTAATATAATTTCCTCCTTAAAAGCGTAAACTCAAATTTATTGCGCTTCTGGAGTGACTGCCTTTGGTTTCGAGACCGTGATTGCAGTCTGTCAGCTTCAGTTTTGTCCCATTGCAGTTGTGATTCAGCCTTTAGGCTTGTCTTTAAAAGTATGATTCCATTGTGTAACAGAGGAAGAAGCAGCAGGAAGAGAAGAAGCTGGCATGGAACTGGAACTGAATGCATACCCGGCGACTTGTTGTTGTTCTACTGTATAAGCACTTATAAATAAGAACATTTATTTCTTGTCCCAATTAACTTTCCTTTGCTAAGAGTCGTCATAGAGCGGGTTGTTGTAGTTTCCCCAGGATCCGTAGTCATGGTCATCCAACAGCCTTCCGTATGAAGAATGTCTGGGAGGGTGAGAGGGAGGGGGGAAAAAAAGTCTGGGATTAGTTGGGAATGGTTTAGAAACACCCTATTCCAGCGCTATTCCTATTCAGTGCACAGCCCTGTAGAAAGGATGCCCTCGCTCCTGCAGACATTGAAAAGCACCTACTGCTAAAACCCATCTCTGTAACCAGGCCCAGGGAACTTAATGTGTGAGAGGATAAATTGGTGGTATTTAGATCCCGATTAATTTTAGGCTACGGTTTTGATTCTGATTTAGATGACACCTAAATCACATCTCCACTCCAGGTGCCTAAAATCTTTAATGATCAACCATCTGGGACAACGAGAAGTCTAATACTAGTTGCTTCCTTGGTCCAGTTCAGGGACGCACTTAAAACACAGCTAGATCTTGTCTATGCTATAGGAATGATTTGGACTTTAATGATATCAGGAAACAGTCATGTCCCCTGACTGTGCATTGCAATACAATTGGGCCCTTTGATCAGTTAGTTTATTTCAGTTTGCAGTAGGCCCCATGCCTTCTAGTTTCTAATTCCCCTGGGTGATCGATGATTCTGTGTTGTGGTATGAATGCATTTGAGTGTAGTAGATGGTCTGTTGTTCCTCTGCAGGGAGTTAAAACCTTCCTGCTTGTATATAGATATTAATATTGCCTCTTGATCTAGAGTTAGGTGTGGTAGTGTACTAAGTGCTATGGATTGTTAAGAGGGTTGTTTTGTTAAGCTCTGAATATTTAGTGGTCTGTGGGCTGGATCTCAATTGGGTGAGAAGAGAATGAACGCATGTTGACCATACTTTTTGTCTCTCTCTTAGTGATCTATGATGAAGCCAGTGCACGGGGTAGGAGAGCTGGCTGAACACTGCAAGGAGTGAAAACTCAGTCACCTACCTAAATAAATTTGCTTTTTGACTCTGTTTCCATTCCTCTCCTGTTAGTTTTTTGTGAATATAAGAGCACATGAGATTCCTGTCCGGAATATTTGTGGAAATGATTTTTTTTTATGAGAATATTTGCAGAAAAAGTTTTGTGTGTATATATGTGTGTAAATATGCAGGCTTTTCACATGCTTTTATAATGCTGACATGGGCCTTGAACTCATCCCTCAGAGGCAGGAAAGGGCCTCTGCTCCTGTTCAACACTGCCTGGGAGACATGGTTATGGATGGGAGGTTGGCATGGAGCCCAATATTTGGATGTATGGAGGCTGGGAAGGAACTTGCTTTCGTTGACTGTTTAATAAATGCTGGCTCTTTGATATTTTTATAGGATGGTGTGCATATGTAGCATTACAGTGGCATTTGGGATCCTGCAGTTCTGTTGTTGATATTTTAACAGAATGCGATTCGCCACTGGCAAAGTCCACATAAACATCGTGCCAAAAATGCCCCTGGAGTGTAATTCTGAAATACCTTAAATCGTCTAAAAATCTCTGCAATTGCACCTGAGATTTGAGAGCCTTCCTAGGGACCCCAGTTCATGCTGTGCCCTACATCAGTGCTTCTCAAAGTTGGGCCGCCGCTTGTGCAGGGAAAGCCCCTGGTGGGCCGGGCTGGTTGTTTACCTGCCGCGTCCGCAGGTTTGGCCGATCGCGGCTCCCACTGGCCGCGGTTCGCCGCTCCAGGCCAATGGGGGCTGCGGGAAGCGGCGCAGGCTGAGGGATGTGCTGGCTGTCCTTCCTGCAGCCCCCATTGGCCTGGAGCGGCGAACCGCAGTCAGTGGGAGCCGCGATCGGCCGAACCTGCGGACGTGGCAGGTAAACAAACCGGCCCGGCCCGCAAGGGGCTTTCCCTGAACAAGCGGCGGACCGGCTTTGAGAAGCACTGCCCTACATGAACTGTGAAAACCTCCTTCAATTTCCAAAGCAGCACGTTCTTGTTCAATGCAGTCTACTCCCTTCTTCAGCCACACTTAAAAGTTATTCTAGTCCGAGAGAATGCCAACTGAACATGTGACTTTCAGGAAATACTTGGCCAGGGAGGACTGTGTCCGTGCAAACAAGACATTTATTTTTACAGCAAGAATAGCTGGCTGTTGTCTGTTTGATTTACTAACCCATCTATTTTCTAGTGTCCCTCCATAACACCAGTGATAGTTCTGCACAGGACTATTTTGGTTGTGTCCAAGCCTGAACTCGTATGAATCACTATGAAGTAGTTGAAACAGAAACCTTGCTTACCTCAGTCTTAAATTAAACCCAATTAAAGATGCTCCGTGTAGGTTGTTCTTATTTTAAGGTCACAGATAGGGTATGAGTAAAGCTTGCCAGAGGGATAATTACTGTTTATGGTCACAACACATTGCAGGACTGGCTCTGGCATGTGAGTGAGGCCTTTGTAATGAGACAAATGCCACCTTGTACCATTGAAAACGACATAAAATGGGATTGCTACAGCGTCTCCTCTAACTCCGAGCCTCTTTGCACTCAGATAATAGTGCACCTTCGATTGCCCCCTAGAGCTGGTACAGGTGCACCAAGGGAGGCAGGGGCTGTGGTACCACTCACTGTCGGCTAACGAGCTTGTATCCCAGCCAGCCCAATAACGTCTGGACGCCATTGTCATCGGGTAGCTGCTTGGTGACCTTGATAAAATGAGCCAGGGCTCTTATTCCCGTGGCCAGGTGTCGACACCACCATTGCTACCATTGCATCACTGGCACTTGCTGGTCCCTCGTCAAGAGGCTGAAATGTGCGTCTGGCCCTAGATCTGGGCTCCCCAGGGTTGGAGGCACGGTGGTAGGCCAGCAGCACACACACGCTTGCATTGTCCTACTGCTGCTGGGGTTTGAGAGCCGAGCAGTCAGGCTCAGGCCTCTCCTGAACACGACAGTCGCTGACGCACAGTCCAGACCTGACAGCAGCACCAGGGCCGGCTCCAGGCACCAGCCCAGCAAGCAGGTGCTTGGGGCAGCCAAGGGGAAGGGGCGGCACATCGGGCTGTTCGGTGGCAATTCGGCGGCGGGTCCCTCTCCGAGGGAAGCACCTGCCGCCGAATTCCCGCCGAAGAAGAAAGTGGTGCGGTGGAGCTGCCGCCGGAGTGCGGCTGATGGCAATTGCGATCGGGGCTTTTTTTTTTTTTTCCCCCCTGCTGCTTGGGGCGGCAAAAACCCTGGAGCCGGTCCTGAGTGCCACCAGCTCTGCTGTATTAGCATCAGCTGTTGCACTGAAGGGAGGTGACCTATCCGTCCCATCAGTGTGAATACACATGGAGAGGAGAATATACTCCAGCTTGTTCCAATAACTGAGTTGCTTCCAGGGATGGTGTCTCTAGCCTCTGTTAGCTGGAAGCTGGGAATGGGCGATGGGGGATGGATCACTTGATGATTCCCTGTTCTGTTCATTCCCTCTGGGACACCCGGCATTGGCCACTGTCGGAAGACAGGACACTGGGCTAGATGGACCTTTGGTCTGACTCAGTATGGCCATTCTTATGTTCGGGGTAACTGTCCTTTTACCAAGTGGATGCTTACCTGATCTTAAGGTATGCTGCCACCCCAAACACCAGCAGCACCACCACAATGACCGTTACGGTAATGGCTGCAATGCTTCCTGCAAAGGGGGTGGGAGGGAAGAGGAGGAAGAAAAGGGCATAAACAGATGTTTTAGTGAGGTCATAATTTATCAAAACCATTACCCCTGTCCCCTTCCGGCTCACTTGTTTGCAGTGCGCGGGTTAACACCACGCTGGCCACGGGTGGATTGCCTGCGCATGTAGGCAATGTGGTATTTGCTGTCAACCCCAGATGCCTTATTGAGAAGGAAGGCGGTTCATTCGCTGCACATCTGAGAGACTATGCCCACTCCGCCTCACCGCTAAGATCTGTCCTTGTTTGTAACTGAGGCCTGGATGTGAATGGGGACTTGCACTGTGGAATGATTCTGAAACGAGACTGCCCTTTAACCTAAGCTCCCCCTCCCTTCCCAAGCTGTCTGTTCCCAGGGCCGGTTCTATTCCAGGGGCTCTCAAATGGGGGGTCGGGACCCCTCAGGGGGTCGCAAGGTTATTACACGGGGGGGGGTCGCGAGCTGTCAGCCTCCACCCCAAACCCTGCTTTGCCTCCAGCATTTATAATGGTGTTAAATTATATTAAAATCTTAATTTATAAGAGGGGGGTCGCACTCAGGGGCCTGCTGTGTGAAAGGGGGTCACCAGTACAAAAGTTTGAGGACCACTGTTCTATTCCTATTCTTTACATACTGTAACTTTTACCTGCAGCCATCAGGCGAAGTGCCCGAACCAGGAACCTGATGCTCTCTGGTTTACACTGCTGTCAATCAGGAATGCCCCCGCCGAAGTGTGTAGAGTCTCACGGACACAAGCCTGCATGATGGGAATGGGGCCCTTAGGCTAGATTTTTCTAAAGAGTTTGGTGCCCATTTAGGCACCAAAATATGTGGCCAGACTTTTAAAAGGGGCAGACTAGGTGTTGAACTGGTAGTGGCACAATAGGAGCTGCTGTGGACTTTGGAAAATCTGGTGCTTATTTAGGCATGGAAATGAGAGCGGAGTGCTTGGAAAACGAGGTCCCAAGTGTTAGTGTTGGGCCCTTGAAAACTTGTCTCTAGTTGTCTAGTTCCATCCCATCCAGGCTTATTGCTTTTCTCCTGGGATGGGCTCATGTTCCTCACTTTAAAAGCCACGTGTGGCTATGTTCCTCTTGCGTGCGATGTTACTATGTACACACAGCGGGGTTACGAGTGGTTGACGGTTTCCCTGCTGAAGGAGGAAGCTGTGGCGCAGCTCTGGCAGGCGAGTACATGATGCCTTTTAATGGCTCAGTTAAAATCTCCCGGGGGCGTTTTTACAAGGCGTGAATAAGCAGGTTTATGGATGGATGAGCCCTCGGTCCCTGACAATGTAGAGACACTGTTTAGGAGCTGCCCTCAGAACTGAACTCATTTAAATTCCCAGGGGAACAAAGAGGGGAAAGTTTTCAACACTCCTTCAAGTTACAGGTTTATTCTTAAGTAATGAGCTTCTGAGGCCAGTGGTTCTGCAGCCTCTAATAACGTATTCACCAGGCTACAGGCCGCCGGGGCTTCCTGGCAGTTATTCAATGGTGCCTGTTAATTGGCTTCACCTTGCAGCCCCTCCACCTAAGACTGCAGTGCCAATGCCATACTGATTCCACTCTGCAGCCTGCAGACGCGCGCTGGAAAAGCAGCACTTTGGACTCGTTTCCTCTCAGCATTGCTATTAGTCGAAGAAGACTGTCAGGGGCAAATGAAGTCTTCACTTGCTCCCTTTAATGCTCTTGTCTGCTTGGTATGATAACAGTTAAGGGGGTGGGGGGAAATACGTGCAATCTTTCTATTTCCTTTGCAGCAGGGAGATATTTGATGAGAGTTGGGCAGCTTTATATTTTTGTATCTGTGATGCTCTGGTAAAGGCAGCCGAATGGATTTGGATACAATAAACACAGCAAACACTGGAAGTGTGTGTGCGCTGAAATACTGACCCTGCGATGTGCAGGTCACAATCTGGCAGACAATGAAAATATGGTACATGGGGGTTTTTTACCACCTTTAAGATAAGTCTCAAGTGTAGGGTTACCATATTCAAACATTTAAAAAAGAGGACACTCCACGGGGCCCCGGTCCTGCCCCCAGCCCCGCCCCAACTCCGCCCCTTCCCCGGCCCCACCCAACTCCACCCCTTCCCCACCCCCATTCCAACCCTTTTCCCAAAGTCCCTGCCCCAACTCTGCCCCCTCCTCTGAGCACCCCGCATTCCCCCTCCTCCCTCCCGCTCTGATCTTGGTTGGGGGTTGCTAAGTGCTTCCCTGCTCCCCACTCGCCCTGCATCCTCCCCCGCCCCTGCAGCCTCTGCGCCCCCCACCTGCCCTTCCCCTGCGCCCCCCTGCCCCTGCAGCCTCTATGCCCCTGCCTGCCCTGCTCCTCCTCGCCCTGCAGTCTCTGCACCCCCCCGCCTGCCCTGCTCCCCCGGCAGCCTCTGCCTGGCGGGGGCTTCGGATGCTCAGCGGCGACCGGGGCAGCGCGGGTCCCTGCAGCCCCGGCCCACGCCGCACTCCCTGCCCCGCGGGGTGATGGGGCCGCAGGAAGGGTCCCCCAGTAGCCGGGGAGTCCCCGCCCGCGAGGGAAGCCCGAGCCGTTGGCTGGGCCCGGCCTCCCCATGGTCCTGCGGGCTCGGCTGGGGCGCGCGGTCCGCCCGGCCTCCGGGGGCAGCAGCAGCCCCTCCGCCGCCTTCTGCGGCTGCACCCCCCCTTCCCCCGCCCGAGCTCGCTACAATGTAGCCAGGCGGCTGGGCTGCGCTGCGGACCCGGCGGGTCGTGCTGGGGCCAGGCGGACCCTGGCTTATGCTGCCTCCCTATTTCCCCGGACATGTCCGGCTTTTTGGCAATTCCCCCCAGACGGGGATTTGAGTACCAAAAAGCCGGACATGTCCGGGGAAATCCGGGCGTATGGTAACCCTACGTCAAGTGTCAGACTTGTGATTGCATACTCCCAACCCGAACGATCCAAAAACAATCCACAAAAGCATACAGTCTTCTGCCCAAGCAGTAATTACTTCACAGGGAAATGGTTTTGCTTATGCAAAAACACTGTTCAGGGCTTACAGATCGTGTTAGACAAAACTTTAAGAGCTCAGAAAGGTCCCCCCCAAATACAGGGTTTTTTTGGTTTGTTTTTTTAATAAAAATCTCTCAAAAATTAGGGCCAAGATTTTCAGAAGCCACTGGTGACTGACTGTGGGTGCTCAGCGTGAGACATGCGGAGGGGCCTGATTTTCAAAGGGCAGGAGATCAGCACTGTCTGTGAGGTGCCGAAACTCTGAAACAGACTCACTGGCTGCTTTGAAAAATTTTGGACAAAATATCTAACAAATAAGTGACTTCTGCCGACCTGTTAAGATTTCTCCCACAGCTCTTCAAATCTGCAGCCCCTGCGAAGTCTCCTCTCCACTTCCCATTCTCCCTTACAAAGTTTCTTTTCTGCTCTGTTTTTCTTTAGGAACTCCTCTCTTCTCCCTTCCATGGCTCCCCTGTCCCCCTCTTCCCACTGCTGGGAACAAAGATTCCTCCTTTAAGAGGAAGCAAGTGTCTGGCACCAGCTGTGGATGGGCAGAGGGTCAGCACCCAGCTGAGGCAGGCAGAGCTCGGGCAATGTGGAAGTGGCCATGCCAACGCCCATGACACCATGGTTAGCTGGGTGTCCTATTTTGTACACTGAAAGAATTAACTTTTACCTACTACTGCTCAGGACAGCCAGGGCTTCCTTCTGTAACAAGTCGCCCATTTTACTTCAGCCTCTTAACTACACTCACACAGCACCTTTCAAACTATAGACTTTATCATTGCCCTATGTTGTTTTAAACAACCCCTCTGCCCCCATTGTCATTTTGTGGCAATGCTGCTACTCTATTTTACCAGGATAGTAACACTTCTTTCCCCCCCTCCTCCCACATAATGGGCACACACCCACTGCCAACTGCGAGCCAGCAGCCGCTGCCAAGATCCATTTCAGGGTGTTTCTCATTCAGCCACCTTGGCTTTCCAGCACCAGGAAATGTCTGTGTGCCAACGAGAGATCACTCATCACTTCTGGTGTATGGCACCTATGTCCATACTCTTTAACCCCAAAGGACACCAGCTACAAAGATGTTTAATGTCAGCTTCTGAGTATACTTTTCTCATGACACAGGAGGAAAATCAACTCTGAAACATGGCTCCAGATCTTGTGGTTCTAGGATCTTGAGACTCTCCTACAGAAAAAAACTAAGACTGCTCTCACTGGAAGACACTTCTCATGCCCTTACACCAGAGGTGGGCAAACTACAGCTCGTGGGACCCTCCTGCCTGGCCCTTGAGCTCCCGGCCGGGGAGGCTAGCCACTGGCCCCTCCCCTGCTGTTCCCCGTCCTCCACAGCCTCATCTCACTGCACTGCCAGCGCAATGGAGGGATAGTTCAGTGGTTTGAGCACTGGCCTGCTAAACCCAGGGTTGTGAGTTCAATCCTTGAGGGGGCCATTTAGGGATCTGGGGCAAAAATCTGTCTGGGGATTGGTCCTGCTTTGAGCAGGGGGTTGGACTAGATGACCTCCTAAGGTCCCTTCCAACCCTGATATTCTATAATTCTATAATTCAATGCTCTGGGTGGCGGGGCTGCGAGCTCTTGCCGGGCAGTGCCGCTGCAGAATCGGGGCCTGACCCAGTGCTCTGTGCTGCACGGTGGCATGGTTGGCTCCACTGGTGCTCCAGGCAGCGCGGTAAGGGGGCAGGGAGTGGGGGCGGGGGGTGTTAGATAGAGGACAGGGGAGTTCAGGGGGGTGGTTGGGGCGGGGCGGTGGCTAGGGGGCGGGGCAGTCAGAGGGTGGGGAACAGGGGGTTGAATGGGGGCAAGGGTCAGGGGGGCAGTCAGGAAGGAGGGGGGGGTTGGATGGGGCGGAGGGGGCAGTCAGGGGATAGGGGGGTGGATGGGGTATGGGTCCCGGGGGGGCCATCGGGGAACAGGGGGAGTTGGATGGGAGAGTCCGGGGGGGGGCGTCAGGGGGCGAGAAGCGGGGGGGGTGTCAGATAGGGGCAGGGGCAGGCCAAGCCTGGCTGTTTTGGGAGGCACAGCCTCCCCTAATCGGCCCTCCATACAATTTTGGAAACCCGATGTGGCCCTCAGGCCAAAAGGTTTGCCCGCCCCTGCCTTCCACTACCCTTCTGTGTAAATCCATGCCTTCCACCTTGGGGGGCTGCAGAGAGACTGAGTGGACACCCATGTCCACAAAGCCAGCGTAACTGGCAAGTCTCATGCTGCTGGTTTGTGTGCCCTACCTTCAAGAGGAGCTACACTTAGCCAATGCAGTTAAGTGGAGAAGATACTGGACTTCTGCCTGGGGAAAGAAAACAGTCTGAGAATTCCTCCTATTAACTCATTGTAGCGCCTCTTAACCACGGAGACAGAAAACGCTTCCAGCAGCCTGGGACTCGGCCGGCACTCAGACTTGGCTGGGGGAAACGACAGGCTGAGGAATGAATGTTGGCTTTAACCTTTGAAACTACCGTGATTTGTACATAACCATCCCACCAAAATTTCAGGTGGCTGATTCAAGGTGTCTCTCCACCTGTACTGAGGAGACATGGGGGCGTAGGGGAGGATGAGTAGGGATGTCCGCTAGCAAAGCGGAGGAAGCAAATGCAGTGGCTTGTGCTGGGATTAAGCATGCTGGCCTGGGACCCAGACTGTCTGTCTGTGAGTTTGTCTTGCAAAACCAGCAGAACTTGTATCCATTACTTTAAAATCCCCTCCCAATATCCTATTCTGTTTTCCCCCCAAACAAACCCATTAAAATAAGAGCAGACCCTTTCTACCCCAAAATAGCTCCTATGCACCATGAAGACGCAGCCTAATAGTACTTTGATCTACGTTGCATGTATGAAGTGGTTTTTACTGCACTCTCACATATAGCCATAACACTGTCATCCTATACCATAAAATACACTCGGGACCAAAGGCTGGGCCAGAGAACTCATAACTTCTTGTTTTACTTTACAGGGCTTGATGAGACAGCCGTAACGTGCTGTTAACTCTTTAGATTTCGGCTGTTAGACAGAGATCGCTCCCACTTGTTCTGCTTGATGAGGGGGAAGAAAAGTTAATGACTAAAGGAATGCGATGAAATAAACGAAACATCTAGCATCTGATTTTTTTTTTTTTTTTTTTAAATATGAGTGGGACTAGATGGCATAACTTCAAACAACTCCTGAACTTTGGGGACTTTTGCATCCAGATCCGTGTTCCAGTTGTGCCTCCATCTCTTCTTTCTTTATACAGTTGGGATGGTTCACAACACATCTACTAATCTCTAGTCGCCGTGAATAAGCTCTTTGGTGCTGTAATGCAGGAGAGTGCTGAATTATGCATTTGAGCACTCGACAAATGAGATGCTGTTTATTTGTGTCTTTATAGCACCACTACTTCCTTGCCCTCTCTTAAAAGGGTCACTTTGTATCACAACTCACAATCGTCCCTGTAGCTGATGTTTAATGCTATGGAATATGCTGCAGAGACTAAATTTAATCAGAAGAAAAAATACACACTAATACATCACAGCACTGTAGGGCTCCCCCAGATTTCAGGGTGACGGGGACTGATTTTTCTCTAGAGGTATCACCTGCGCGTACACTGCATTTTATCCAAAATTCAAGGGAGCAGGAGAGAATTCAGTTTGGCAGAAGTGTCTTTATTTTGTTGTTTTTCCCATGGTACCTGGTCAAAGTGAATGATCCTGGCTCTAGCTCCTTGAAAGGTGATGGCTCCAGCCCTTGGAATAAGCCAACCCACCCGCAATGAGATTGGGGGGGAAAATGCCACCAAACAAGTTTGAAAGATTGTATAAAGCTTGCTGTAGCCTCTGTTTTAAAATGTCTCACTCTGTACATCAAGTTACTGGATTAAACAGAATGCCAGGTATGGAGAGGACAGGAAAGAATCGGTCTGAAATGAGTAAGGTCGCCCATAATGAAGGACATTGAGATAATATCCTGATCATGGGAATCCACGTTGATTCACACCATCCCTGGTCTATTCTCACACTAGCCCTTCATAGGGCAACTTGCCATGCTGACATCACCATATGTGTTGTGTATACGTACACACAACGCACCTTTGACCACTTTTCAAAGATAATGGATTAGTAGGTGATTATATCTGACCTTCCAAACATCTAAGATGCCATTAAAAGCCTGTGCCAGAATGTTGTCGTGTTATTTCCTCCATCAATGGGGAATTTCCCTTGAGCTCTGGCATTGCTATATTTAATCCTGAACCAGTGATTTGTTTAAGGTCCAATACCTCATCCATCAGGATGAGAAGAAGTTGTATGCCATTAGAAAGCCATGAATTCTTCCATTTTTCTAGCAGGATAGGGTACTTATCTAACCACGGCAGGTTGAGATTTCAAACCTTAAAACGGTGTGTAGAAAAGTTATTGGATAACTCTCAGAAAGGTTTCTAAGTTCACTGGCCGTGGGGAAAAGGAAAAGTGTCCATTCTCATGAGAAAACGCAGCATCTATGGTCAGCAGATACGTTGTGGTCTCCTAGTCTAGAGTGTAGGAAGTGAAATTCTTATTGAAGCTTAGAGCTTGGTGTCAGACCTGTCAGAATATACCCAGTCATTGTTATAACATCTTTCTATGAAGGGATCACAGTGTAGAGGAGATTCATAATAAGGCAATACCATGTGATGTACATAAAACACAGCTGCAGCTCCTGGGTGACTTTTGTTAATATTACAAGTAACATGACAGCACTTCCTAGGAATAGATGTAAGTGCTCTTTTTCTCACCCCTTTGCCTCCCCCCTAAATGCCCCCCAAAATCACAGGAGAAATGAAGCACTAAAGGTGACAGCATAAATAACGCACATACAAAAATCATCTGCCTCACCTGAACTTAAAGCACGCTGGACCTCTTCCATGGTGACTCCTGTGGAGAGAGTGGTGCTATCCATGGAGACGGCCTCCGTGACCGACTTGGTTGCCAAAGTCACTTGAGATGTTTGTCCGATCACTGGGCCTGATGAGAGGGACTCTGGGGGCATCTTTTTAGTAGAGGCATCCTCTGTAGCGGGGGCTGCTGTGGATCCGTTTGGCAGCTGGGGGGTGTTTTGCTTTGTAATGGTGGTCTGTCTGGAGGAACCTGCCGATGACGACGAAGACGAGGTCTTAGTTAGGTGAGAAAAGGTGGTTGCTGGGGTCTCTTTGGGAGGGGTGGCTGTATCTGGAGCTGTTGTGGGAGGGGTGGCTGTATCTGGAGCTGTTGTGGGAGGGGTGGCTGTATCTGGAGCTGTTGTGGGAGGGGTGGCTGTATCTGGAGCTGTATTCAGGTTGGAAACTGAAGTCCCAGAGACGTGTTCTGTGGCTGTTGATTCTGACCCAGTGCTTGAGGATGGTGACGGGCTGGTGGCTGAAACATTTGCTCTTTCCGTATGTGAGGCAAGATGTGTAGTGGTAGCTGACAACTCTCTTGTGGTGTCTGAGGAGATTGTGGTATTGCCCTGTTCTGCTGGTCCTGAGGTGACTTTGTCTCTTGAAATGGTCACCGTTCCTGCTGTTGCTGATGGTAGCTTTTTTGCTGATGTGCTAGCAGCAAGGGTGACATGGACAGTTGTTTGAGTTGATTCTGATGCAATGGTATTTCTCACAGAAGGACTGGGCGAGGATGTAGCTTCTGAACGTGCAGAGTGAAGACTCAGTCCTGAGGAGGAGAAGACACACAAATGTTAATATTGGAAAATGGTTGTGACAAGCTGCACTCTGAGCACACAGCGAAGGGTTTGGAATGAGTGGCCAGTCAGTTAGTTTTACAACAGGCAAACATCCCTTTCAAGGATGAGTGAAGTAAGGAGGATTTCAGTTACCACTGAAATAGACGGTACAAATGAAAAATCATGTTGTAAAAGTAAAACTATTTTTGTGCTTGCTTCCCACTACATTTATTTATATCAAATTGGGGGCACTTATTCAAATAGGCTGTAATTTAACTCAAACACGGTTGGTAGCAGGACAATAACATGGCACTGAGCAGTAGCCTTGGGAAGAGAACTTTGTTCACATGAGTGATATCGCGTTACACCTCAATATCCAGGGTGGTTTTGTGTATGTTACAGACTGTCCTATAAGGGTCCTTCTACAGTAGGACAACAACCTGTTTAATGGCTGTCAATAACACCTCTCTTGGGTCCCTGGAACTATTATCTGAAACTCAGAGCTGGTTGAAATTTTCAAAATTAAAGCGGGGAAACAATTGTTTTCTCTTCTGACCAGCACCTAATGGAATGGTTTGATTATTAGTACACACCATGCCAAACACCGTTTTCTATTGTTAAGGAAAGTACTAGCAAATCTAAAGAGTTTTACCATGTCTTCTATAACTGTATTGAAAACAGACTGGCCCCAGGTACGCTAGCAGCCAGCGGTTGAGGCCAATGGGACCTCCTATTGATAGTCATTAACAATGGGTCATTTTCCTGGTGTAGACAGACCCCAAGAAGAGACCCCTGGATCCTAAGCTAGATTCTGAGCCATTGCAGCAAAGATTGACAAAACAGCAGCTATGTTTGGTTACACGAGAGACGGCACTATTTTGATTATTTTGCCTCTGTTTTTATTCTGAGACCGTCTTCCACCAGAATGTTTATGCATCCTACTTTCCAGAGTTGTTAACCATCCTTAGGCGAGAAGCTCTTTTAAATGAACCATAGGTGTACAATATGAAGTATAATTAGGTTTGGAAGGATTCGATTTTTATTGGTAAATGTCAGTAAACGATTTCTCAGTACACAGACAAACTGATGAAAACATATTTCCACTGATCAAAATGTACAGCTAGGCAAAGTAAGAAGTCTGTATCGCCACTGCTGCTAGCGCACCAGCATGAGCATTAGTTTGATTTAAGGATATTTCCTTTGCATATTTTGACATGGGATGTTGCCAATTTAACTGTTATCCAGCTTTAACTTTTTGAATCTCAGCATCTACGGTCATTAAATAATTGTCTGACTCCCCATAATTTCCCAGATCTGTGAAAATTTAAATCTATAATCAAAAAGTACTTAAAAATAAATATTAACAAAATAAATATTCTGCCAATCCTAGGTATACTTCAGTAAACTTAGACCAATGTTAACTAAGCTACGAGAAATCACTCATTCCAAGTGTAGGATCAAAATATTGAATGCTATTGCCATGTTGAATCTATTCTCTCTGGAACACAATCACTTAAACTCAGGGCAGCAAATTATCTATTGAAACATTTCCTTCTGTTTAAGGCCTGAAAATAGAGACATCTTCCCCTGCTGCTTGCATTGTCTGCCCACTGCAGGTGAAGATGGACAGGCTTAGTTAAACTGAATGTTATCACTTAATTTGATTTTCTAGAAACGCTTTTTTCACTGGAACACAGAAGGTACATCTACCCAGCAAAAAGAACCTCATGGCAGTGAGTTTCACGGCTCGGGTCAACTGATTATAAAGCAAAACAGAAAAGTCCTGTATTGCATTTTGCCCACAATGCAATATTTAGCCTCCTGCTCGGTATACCAGGAGTACTACATAGGGTGACCAGATGTCCCGATTTTATAGGGACAGTCCCGATATTTGGGGCTTTGTCTTATATAGGCGCCTATTACCTCCCACCCCCGTCCCGATTTTTCACACTTGCTGTCTGGTCACCCTAGTGCTACACTACATGCAAACTCACCCATTCACTCATCTGCACACTGAAGAAATATTACCATTCATTTCTAAAATCTGCATGTACTCAACTCCAGCACTCCAATATTACTTTGATCTACAATGGCCTTTCATTGAAGCTCTGTCGCCTTTGACCTGTCCTTCACTGGCATATGTACAGGATGGATGCCTTGTCACGGCAATAGATAAGCAAACGACACAAAGTACTGTACCCAAATACTTGACACATCTTGCCAACCTGAATTCCAGCATTAGCCATGGGTTTAACATCTCTACCTTACGATGCTGGCTTGTTTCTGATTGCATCAAGGCCAGAATTACACACAAATCCAGATGGTGTTTATGTATGCTGGATTGGCAGAATTTTTTGTTTGTATCTATGAGAGCACACCTATTAAAAAGGCCACTGCTGTCTCCATTTTGGGACTGCATGTTCAAAAGCACCAATTATATAATGACCTCTGTAGGACTTCCCTCCATGCCAGCTGCAAAGTCAGGGGGGGACAAAACAGGTATAAGAGCTACACTGAAAAATATTTGAGAGCGCTCCCCTGGCTGTAACACCGTGGTAAGCCTGCAGCTATCAATAACGCGGCAGGAAGTCTCTTTGTAGGTAAGAATGCGCAGACTTGGGGAAATAAATTGGCTCATTCCTGGTGTGCCTCAGAAATGATTAAAAAACTCTTTTCCAAAGTCACAGTTTCTAGAACATCTAATTTACCAAACCCCCCCTCCTTCAGTCTCTCTGGCCAGCAGCTTCCTTCAGCAAATAGCACTTCAGCACCTGTGTAGCAAACTCAACCTATTTGAGGCACCTGGAAATAACACAGAGTGTATCCTTCCGCCCCCCACCCCTTTCCACTTCCTTGTTTCTTTCTTAGCAGAAAGATGAGTCAGTCTTTTCTTTCTTCTCCTCAGCAGCAGACTTCAATTTTTCTTCTAATCTACTAGGCCAAATTCTATCATCTTCCTTTGTGTTAGTTTGGCTACGGAAAGAACATACAGACAATACATTACCTCAGACTAATTTTTATTCTTGTGACATTCATTTATTTATATCCACAGAGCAGCGCTTCAAATGCTGTGGAGTCACATTCGTTCGAGCACCAACAAGCAACACAATTAACTAATTATAATATGCTACAACTTAGACTCTGTGTGGGTGGCAATTGTTAGGTCAAGTTTCATCATCCATTATAATTTCCTTCTTTTGGCTGCTCATTACAAATTCTTTGTGAGCTCACATTTTTCCATGCTTGGTCTCATGTGAAGGTGAAATTCCTAAGTAGAGTTGGTTGGAGAAAACTTTCAAGGTTTTGAAAGTTGACCAGAAATGATGGGGGGAGAATTGGGGAAATGGTCTACGAAGAACACATGCCTGGGTAGTTACTTTTTAGTCATTTTTCCAGCCAAATATGGAAAAGAGATTCCAACGTTCAGTGGGTGCTCTCACTCTCTCTTGGAGAACTCAAGGGATGGAAGTTAGAAACTTCAAACTTGTCTTGATTTGATGATCTCATTTAGACTTGAGGTCAATTGGGTGGGAAGACTTACAGCTGAAAAGTTCCAATGTGTGCAAAAACCGAGTGAGTTTAAGAATTCCTCTCTGTTTAGAGGTGCATTTTCAGAACCTACTACATAAGGGCATCCCCGCTGAAGAGCTGTTTAGAGGTCTCGGGGTGGGGGGGGATGATTGTATGTCAGGGAGGTGCAATACAGCCTGGAATTCCTAGGCACACGGGGTAGTATTCATGCTGCTTCATTATTAAGAATAGGACAGTGCAAAGTGTCTCTGTATCCGTGTGTGGCTATGGCCCGGTCTCCTCTGTCCCTTTTTTCTGCAGTGGCTTTTGGGGGAAAAGAGTTCCTGCTCTGCCATTGTGCATGGCTGCTGCATTGGGAAGGCTCCAGGGGGAAAAGCTTTTTGTATCCTTCCATCGGTGCCCCTGCTGAAAGCAGTCTGGCCCTACATCTCTCTCATAGCTCGGGAAAGTAGCTGTTAAGAGCAGCGGTGGATGAACCTGGAAACTTTGAGGCTCAGGTATTCGCTCAAGCTTTGTAGCGATCCCCAAACCAAACTCCTCTCTGGGCTCCAGGGATGGGGTCCTAGAGCTCAGTGCTCCTCTAAGCTGCTGGCATAAAATGTTGATAGCTGAGTCACGGCGCACTTGTCTGTTACGCTGCTGTCTCCGTTGAACCAGAACTTGCAAGTGCTGTGGTTTTGATACAGTGGGCTGGAATGCAGCCAGTTCAGGCTCCCACCCAAACCATTCACCCAGCCTTTAAAAACTGCAGTCCAGGCAGCCAAATCTTCATACTTGCAAAATGATTCCATTGGTAACGCTCCGTTGCCACTGCTGACGCAGCAGTCCAGCAAAGCAAAGGGGGCAGGGCGCTGTTCCCCATAGGATGGCAGCCTGCATAGATGTTTAAATGCTGGGCACAAGATGGAATGGATCAATATTCTCCTTTCACCATCTAGATAATTATCAATTTGTGTGTGTGACTTTTTTACTAGTGCAGGCTTGCTCCTATTAAACCAAAGAGAGGTGCTGGTTGGCAACACGCAGCCACACAGAGAGAGGAGGAATTGTAGGGGTGGTGTTGAAAGCCGCATGCTGGCACATAGTATTGCAATCAGTGTTTGTAAAGCCCAAGGGCTCTTGAAATATACAGAAAGCTTGACATTCGGGTAGGCAAGTAGCATCTCTGCTCTCGGGTATCCAGACGCAAGACTGTTATTCTGTGGTGGGATTTAAGCTGAAAGTCCCACAGACTCTCTAATTTGAGGCTTCTGGGGGAAGATAGTGTGGCTCGGGGGACAGAGCACTGTGCCCCCCTGGGACTTGGGGGGAGGCAACCTGGGTTTTAATTGCTGGGCAAGTCACCTCACCGTGCCTCAAGTTCTCTATCAGTGAAATGGGCATATCTGCCTCTTTTGTGAACTGCCCTGATGTCTGGAAGAAAAGTGCTGTATAATTCTCTCCGCCCAACCGCCACTCACTCCTTAGCCAGACCA